TCGTTCGTCTGCCTGATGGTGTCCGCTCATACTGGCATGGCCCAGGGAGTTCTCGTTACTGACCAGCTCCGGTGTCAGGGGAGTCCCTGTCACTGTCATGAATGGAAGTTGATAGCTGAGCGCACTTGGCATTTGAGAGGTTTTCATCTATCGTTCCGAACGTTAGTCGCCAATACTCAACGTTTCTTTCTATGTTTAATCTCTTGGACTAACCGCGATGTTCTGGTTTTGGAGTTGCTTCATCGTTTCTATTAACACCCCGTTATTCTCTGTTATTTCCTTAATTCTTGTGCCCTTTTCGATAACTTCAGCCTCCAGCTGGCAAAATAGATAATGAATGAGAGTTTGTCATCCTCAGCTCATGCGATCGTCGCTTACATCTTCAAGATGAGCCTTCTGTCGCTTTCTAAATGCTCTTTGAGCAATTCGATCTTGTTTTCGCATAAGTCAGATTCAAGACTGTATTTGGTAGCAGGAAGTCGCGCTCACTTTGTTCCTTTCGTTTAGCGGAAGACTCTCCTTGACTTCGAGAAGGTTTAGCCTGTCGAAAAGGGTTCGGTGTATGAATCATACTGGCGCTTGAGACGTGGTAGATTGTATGCTTACGTCTGACTTGGTCGCTATGGTTTTCCCCTTCTCTATATTCGTCGACGACTTTCTTCTGTGATGTGTGGGTCTCGACGTCGAGCTAGATGGCTCAGTTGCCGTATGAGCCCAGGCTTTGGTTGGCTTTCTATCCTGTTGAGAAGTAGGAGGAGATAGTACTTGCACAGCAGGCTTGTCGCTTGAAGGGATACTGCGGGAGTTCGAGCCAACCATGGTAGAAGGCGAAAATAGCATAGGCTTACAAGAAACAGTCAAACAGGATGAGTTGTGTGAGAGAGCGCAAAGAGGGTTGGATCATAACTTACCGGTATCTGGTAAGTCTACTCTATAAAGCGGACAAGAGAGCGTTGTCGACACTAGGGATATACCTTGTGCGGTATCCACGGAATTTCAAGTTGTCGCGGTAGGTGCTTTATTGCCTTTCACGTCACCAGGAGTGAGCTGACAGCATATACCGCAAGACAAGGTTTAACAATCAGTCGTTGTTACCTAAATCCACATCTGGGAAGCTATCTAGGGTGAATGGCTTACGTGGGATCATATGGAGGCAAAAGTCCCCCTCAACCTTGGCGATCGGTCTTCAGCTTGACCAGTATTCAATCCGATATAGGAAACGACCGAGGACTGACCGACAGCGCACTCTTGTGGTCAGGTTCCAAGCATTACGATGACGATCCGATATATGTCTTGATGGACTCGGATGTAGACTTCGGAGGAGAATTGATGAGGCAATTGCAGTATGGTCCGTAGCGGTTCCCATCGAGTTGACCGTATCCTAATGCTTCTCTATGCAAGCAATTATCATCTGCTGACGAGCTGGACAAGCGAGGTAGGTATTCAAAATCTTCCACAGCATTGTGCGACACGCGATAGCCTGCTCGATGAAGCCTAGGCGTGCCTCGGGATTCCAATCACGAGCTGCCGTATAGGTCAGTACATCGGATATGAAAGTATAAGGAATCCTGCTTTCTTTGACAGGTTCCAGAAGCTGTTGCAAAGCTGGTCACAGCCCATGAATCCTTCGAAGCTTGTCTTGGGGGTAGAAGAGCTGGTATAGGGTTAGAAATTGCACTTTCGGTGAATATCGCGCTTCAAACGAACAGTGTCTAGCAGAGTGCATTATCAATCTGTACTTTTGACGCCCAAGCAGCAGGTCCAGCAGCTGCCCGAGCGACAGCTTAACGGACGTTTACCAGCAGGTCCCAATGCATTGACTAGTGCCAGTAGCCCTGCCGACACAGCTGGAACCAGCTCTGTAACCTCGGTTTGGGCCAAGTCGCCAGTCGCTAAACGTCCCGAGCTACGCTTCCTCGTAGCTTTCCTCATGAACATGCGGGTCAATCCGGGCGAGACAAGCTGCGAAAGGGAGACCATAGCTCAACAGTGCTGTGGCGCAGCCGGACAAGCTCCTGGGCACCTGGTTGGAGCCGTTGCGCCCTACCCATCCATCAGAAATATGCATCCAGCTTGCCACCGATACTAGATGCTGCCGCTAGCTATACTGCTCAGCCTACTGCCCACTACTCAGACTGAAGACCCGGGTAGTCTAGTGTGATGACCGGGGCCTTCTGGGGCTCATTGGGCAGTCACTGGCTGACTGGTGACTGGACTGTCTTGCAGAAGAGTCTGGTGGGCTGGAACAGCTGTAGAAGCCGAATGAGCTAGCTGATGTAACTGATTATGTCGGCAGCGTCCGGGACAAGGGACGATGGCATGTGATGCCCGATTACGCTGTACACAAATTCCTGCAGTTGCGAGATTCGCTCCAGGAACTGTCGGGACCAGCTCTCGAAGCTCTCTAGAACAGGTTCTGGGACTAAATAAATGGACGATACGCTATGCACTACGACGTACAGATCTTGTAGCTAGTTAGCTGTGCAGCTTGGGCTAACGAGTTGAGTTACATCAGCTGTAACGGCTGCTGTAAAGTGATGCTTCGGAGGAATTCGGCGTTTCTGTGCCTCGATTGCTTCATCGAATTGCTACAGTCTCCAGAAGGGAAAGCTGATAAGAAGGACCAGCTGGAAGAACTGCTGGAAGAAATTACAGCTGGTAAAGCTGCTATTGACACGAGCTTTGATAGCTGCTGTGACACGCCAGAACGGAAGAACAACCGCACACCGGATGACTGCTCGTTGTCATGATTTGCATATACCGCGAGATTAACTGTATAGACCCATCAGGTGTCGATAGTAAGTTCAACTCTGGCCAGCCATCGGCATCTAATCTTCAGTCTTTAAAGTCCCCTCAGGAGTTCCCTGAGGTAAAACTGCTACTGACTTTTCGTTGGAAGACTGAAACGCGACTTGTGTTTTCAAACATTTCTACGCTGTTCAAGGCGGTACAGTAAGGTTTGCAGACGGGCTTTGTACCTTAGGAGCGCTGTCAGCTGTGTTATGCGTGGCGCTCATCTCGGAGCTCGGTTCCCGGAGTATAACTGTGTCAAGCCGTACAAGCTGTGCTAGTAGGGCTGCTGATCTACCACTTGCACAGCTGGCTGCTCTACCGGCTGGTCTACCTCTGGGAAGCTCTCTGGGGGCTCCTTCAGGTTTATATTTCTGCCCTCCTTACTTGTAACTGCCGGGTATACTTCCGGCTTCCAGGATACACCTTAGCAAAGAGACAAGTAACGAGGACTTCTGAAGGATGTATTCTCAACTCGTTCGTCTGCGTATGTGTTAGATCTGAAACATGCAGTAAACGTAAAGAGCTACGTAAAGTGGAGATGGAAATTAGAAGAATCGTCATAATAGTATTGTTCCGATCTGATGCTGATAAGAACTCCAACTAGTAGCCATATCATCTTTAGGAGCAGCCATATCGCCGAGAGAAGTACTGTCGTTGCTTTCTCAATCGCAGTTCTATTGCGGCTCCCGTCAGTTTCGAACGTCAGGAACGAGGCAGGAGTCTCGCTTTGTTTTCACTTGACCATCTACCCAGCTCATCCGTTGACAGTTGACCGTACCTTGACATGTCTGTACAGAGCGCCGATATTAGCAACTGATCGAAGAAAATGCTGAAAATGCCAGATTTTCAGCTATGGGGCCCCGCACACGTCCAGATGTGAACTAGTGCTCCTCGAACATGCGCTGCAAGCCAGCCAATATGCCTTTCCGGATACAACGCCGGTGTTATTCGAACGGTAAGCGGATGTCGCTTCGCTGTAGTGTCTGTTGTAATTCCAGCTGCATGAGTTGTTATAGCTGCTGCTATAGGTCTCTCTGAGTAACATGCACGGTGTGCAAGAAGAGAGAGCGCGGAGCGGCTATGCGATAACTTGTTCTACAGACAGAGCCTAAACTACTACAAATGAGAAGCAGGCTCCTGATTGAGAGAAACACCGCGGATTCTGACTAAGCCACCTGCCCGGCGAGGACCAGCCTCCGGCTTGAAGAACGGGGACAAACCCTCGAAAGAAACACCATTGGAAGCTCTAGGGAACAATGTATATTTCGTTCGGGAACAAAATTTGGCAATTTCTGTTCCTCATCCGACAGATCTGTCAACCCGCTAAAAAGAGCTGTGCAGAGCTAAAAGTATGATGGCCGCAGCGAACTTGAGTTTACAGAAACGCAGAACAGGTGGTGTAGAGGTTTTCATTCGAGGCGATGCCAGATGGTATCGTAGCGTAGTTCGCATAGTTGGTTGGAATGCACAAGCCGCCCGTGTTCTCCCGTTCGAGCTCCCGTTCCCTGCGGTACCATCTAGACGCAAAGCTCAGGACGGGTTTCAGGTAGAGAGCAGTTCACCTTGAAACACAAGAGAACCAGCATGCAGATGAATCACAGGCACGGCTCACAGCCGCTCCGAGAGGAACAACCCTTGTCACGCGGTGCGGAGACAACTCCTCGACAGTCACGTTCTTCCACCCTCTAGCTGATAGACGGTTATGACGACCGGCTTTCTGGTCGGGATACCACTTCCGATGACCCGATTGCCAGATCTCATGAGGAGGCTAGGCTGTTCCGAAGTACACAAGTACACCTCGATGGCCCGCCTCCGTAGCCCGTGCATGCTGTTCTCGATCTTTATGGGCGTAGGGGACTGCAAGGTCACCTGTTAGTCTAGTGCAGCGATACCTCCTGATTACCCTGAGACGTCATCTGAAGCTGCCGCTAGAGAAGGTGTAGCCCGTAAATATCATTCTTGTTGTGTTCCTGCGCAAGGGAGAATGAGGGACCCCGTCGCTTTTGGTCCCGCCATCTCGCCATGGAAGGCGGCTGCAACACTTACAGCAAAGTTTCGAAACGTCAAACATGCCGATTTTCAGCAAGCCAGTGCTAAATCCCGAGAAAAACGTAATTGAGGTGCTCTTGGCAAGAAAATCGCATCGCACACTGCAAACGTCGCTCCAGTTGTTCCGGTGCGCAAAACAGGCAAAAACAAAAAGGAAGCTTCCCATGTTGGGGTCGAACCAACGACCTTCGAGTGCCAAATTTCTAAAGTAACAGCTCGACGCAACTACCACTGTGCTAATGAGAAATTGCTGAGAGCTTTGGTCAAACGTTCGACATCACTTGTGGTCGTACTTGGCGCGAGCCTCGAATAGATCTTAAGCTGCGTGATATCACTGGGAGGTTGTCTGCACCTCACTACACGAACGCGACTGACTCTTCCTTGAGCATACCATGATATCAAACAGCCATGATGTTCTTCTCTTTTCACTCGGTGCAAAGTCAAATGAATAATATGCCTCAACGGCACCCATGCCGATGACTTCGCGGCAAATTACCTGATTTTTTTTTCCGTTTCTTTGGAACTGAGGGAATAGTGAATCGTCAGGCATGTATCGCAGGTTCAAAAGAATCGTCAGTCGCGCCATATATCAAGACGGAATCGGTTAACTTGTCTGGGAAGGGCCTCCTTTCCCTGATACAGGTGGTATATGTTGGGGAGAAGGTGAGGGGTAAAAGGTGTACGAAGGAAAGCCCTGCTCTTTGTAATGAACTCATGGGCTGGAAATCCTACACGAGGCTGGAACAGAGCTGAAGACGATGCCTTTGTGTTGACTGCGCTCATTGCAGCAAGGACGATCCACAGGTCTGCAGACGCTTGTTCGAACTGTTATGGTGCAACTCGATAGAATCTCGACGGCTCGAGGAATAGAACGCTAGGAAAAGCCCTGCAGTATCGAGCGTCCGTTTGCGCCCTTTCACCTGTCTCAAGAGATGAACATACTGTCACCTTCTTCTTTGGTCCCCGTCCCAATATCTGCAACAGTAACAGGGGAGTGCGGGGTAGAGCCACTCGAAGCTTATCAACCTTGAAGCGTTCACGCTGACCTACTACCTCACATCCCTCGACAGCGGCTCCTCATTCGCTTGCAGCATGATACATGCACAACGTCCCGTCTTGCCTCCGGCTCTTCTCGGGAAGAATCATGGTTCGGAGAGGAAAAATGTGGAATTACAGACAGGGTTATGATCACTGCGACTAATGGCACGCAAGCTATTCATTCATATGTTCGAATCTTTAATCGATTACAAGTAACTTCAGTCAAGCCCAGAAACGCACGAGTTCAGTAAGTTGCATTCGAAAAGTCCATGTGTCAGGAAGAAATCCAATACACGGTATATTGTCTGCCCCTAGCGAATCATGCAGCGGAAGGAATCGAGACCAACACTTGGAGCTGATTTCGGTCTGGCAAAAGGCTAGAATTGTTCATAGCACTCGAGCTCAGAAGCACAGCTCACCTGACTATGAAAGACAGATATCGCCCATCGGAACAATATCAAACTGCTTCGATTCGCCAAGCCCAGACTAGCCATTTTAAAGTCTATGGACCATACGAGCTATATGTCTCCAGACGTTGTCATACCAGGTAATAGAGCCTTGCCATCATGATTGGCATGGTTCGACACGCCCGCCGCCGCTGAAGCGAATGCGCCTTTCTCGGCATCTGTCAAGGGGATTTGTTCATCGATACCGTTTCGCACGTCTGTATCGGTATCCATTTTGGAAACTGTCGTAGGATTATTATTCGTTAACTGGGGCGCGGCGATAGGCACTGTAAATTGTTCCTGGCTCCCATTCCCAGCTTCTAGATCTTTCACATCAAAGCCAAGTCCTTTGTCGTTGGTGGATCTGAGAAGGACGCATGGACTAGCTTAGCTCGTTCCCTCGCATAGTTAAAGCACGAAACCAAGATTGACCTACTTGATGCGCTTGAAACTCCGCTGAGGTGCCTCTATTGGGGTTTGCCTACCGCTGGTAGTATCGGTGATTCCATTCTGTTTTTCAGGAGGCTGATCAGCAGCTGTACATGCCAATTCTGCTGAAAAGTGCCACATCAAAGCCGCTGGACTGTCCGTACCTTGTCATTTGCGCGTCTCTTCTTGCTTTTCGCGTCACCTCCCTTGCCTCGCAATTCCGCCGGCAAAGCACTCCTGAAAGACGAAGAAAAGGATGAGTGGAGAGTCGAACCCGTGTGCCTTGATACATACTGCTTGATCGGTTTGACAGTGACACCCATAGAAGGTTCGTCGTAATGGTCCCAGTTCTTCACTGTTCTGATAAAGGTTGATGTAGGGTACGATATGTCCATCTGCTGCCTCTCCCCACTGCCTGTAAAGAAAAGGACCTCAGAGTACTAAGGGATTCCAAATTCATTTAGAGCTTACTCTTGTCGGTTTGTTTCAGGTCCAGACCGATATAAAACGTTGTTGTCCATACTTTACTTGTTCCTGGTTCATCCTCAGAGTGTATTTGCGTAGGGGGAATGCCTGCAGCGGCTGATCTGATCTCATCGTCGCCCTTACATATAGTCACCTTCGATTTGCCCTCTATGTACGGATGTGCAACTTTGATGAGAGGCGTATTGTCCTTCAAGTCTCTGACCAGCATTCGCAGTTTTGATTCTACCGTACCCGCCCTGAATTTATATCTGACGTGAGATGATTTGAAGGAGCGACTACTAGAGCAAAACCACATACCACAGGTGCATGGTCTCCTCTGATCCAGTGGATGTCGTCACTTCGAGATACCACTTGTATTTGGTGAAAAAGTCAGATTCCTCAAACAGTTCGTCCCAGGTGGCCTTTCCTTCCATGATCTTCTTATGAATGGCGACTCCCCGAGAAAATTCTTGCATCATGACCGTAAGCGTCGAGTCAGAAACGTTGTGGGTGGAGCACATGACAGGATACGCTGGCGTGATGATAGGCATAATATGTGTCCTGTCGACTGGGTAAAGCGTTGGATTCCACTCCTTTAAGTTCATGGTCATGGCGGCTGCTGAGCGTTGAGTCATGCTCCGCAACGTTACGGGCCGAGGCCATCGCCTGCCATTGATGGAAGCGGATATTATAGCCCACGATACGACAGAGGAATTGACAAAGTGCTTACCATCCGCCAAACAAGACAAACATTTTCCCAATCAAAACTGAAGGCGTTGCTGTAGGATAAAATTGACATGCTCGGGCGACCAACAACGCCCACTGTACACCTCCAAGGAAACCCAGGATGTTGGAGTAGATGGCACGCCCTTTAAATACAGTCCAATCGTCAGTCTCGTTGAAGCGTGAAACAGTCAAAGAGAAATTGTACTTTTGGCCCATAGCTTAACAGCTCTCAAAGTCTCCCTAAATCGTTCAACATTCGGCACAAGCGACAAAATGGAGTCGGTGACTCTGCTACCGTTCAAGCACCGGGCATTCCTTTCGTCGATTCCTCTCAAAACAGAGTCGTCGGTGAGATCAAGATCTCCATCGACCTGTAGGAATCCTCTAATCAGCAACCATGCGGTCTCCGTGATAGTTGTGTGCGTACCCTTTCTTTCGGAATGGTCGCGAAAGCGAAATCTATATCAATTCCACTAATGACCGCTTTGATGATTGGCACATAGGCCTCCGTCACGGGCTACAATCAGGAAGAATTTGTCCATCAATCAAGGGAATAAGGAAATCAACATTTCAAACAATTGACGTACCGTCAGTTCGGTGCATTCTTTCCATTCCCGTAACATTGTGGCAAAAGTATCAAAGAAATCCGCTTGTGTTACCCGCTTGGGACAAACGACCAGTGTATCAATATCGGAAGCGGGACCATGAACGCCCAACCTAGACAAGATACGAGCAAGCAAAGGAGTCAACGCTAAAAGGACTGATAAATTCGAAGGAAAAAGTCGACGAACCTGTAAGAACCGAAAGTGAAGATTTTTCCTCCTGCTTGTTCTGCCTGCTCCTCTGAGCAACCACTTTGAAGACCACAAGCATCAATAACCATCCATTCGAAATCTACCATGAGGACGCTGGACACCCACAGTCCTTTATATGTCTGCTTCACGAATTGCTTAACCAGCATAGCTATCTGACCCAGAACCTTTTCCCTACAGGTAGGAAAGGTTGTTGTCAGATGTGGTATTCTACACTTGCTGCTTAATACCGACCTAAGACGAGCTTCCTTCTCGGTCTCAAACTGATTCATCTTCCTCAGGTATTTCATCAAGTCTGAAATGGGAAAGATGCGTTAGCAGTCTGGGCAAAGGCGTGGAAATTCCGCGTACCTTCAGTCAGCTTGAGTTGTTCCGGAGTCGGGGGGTCAGTCATAAGAGGCGGCGTATCGCCTTTCGGCACCCAGCTATTGTTTGTGCGGGAAAGGCGAATGAGAATGAGGAAACGGCACGGTCATAGCATGAGTAGCACTTACTCCTGTACAGGTTGCCCATCCATCGTATAAGCTCGAAGTATAGGTGTCTGAAAGTCGGGCAACAAGTTACCGGGCGTATGTGATCTCTGTCGAAGGCGATCTAACGGATCCTGCAGCCTGATGGTGGAGCAGTGGTAAACCTCGTTGTGTCTGTCACGGAAGACTGCGAATAAAGGCGAAATCGGGACGAATCTCACACTGATCTGTCGTGATGTTAGCAGTAGGACAGATTGTTAGTGTATGTAAGGTCTCTCTGCGCCACAGCTCCCGATATCAATAATGCATTCACCAGTATACGGAGGGAGAAGCGGTATGCCGGGTGTCCGCTGCGATCACCTTGTCCAAATACCTATTTGCATCCGCGCTCACTCCCTTCCACCACCACCACATCGTCCGCACATTTGCCATTTCTTGCTCTCGATTTCACCGTTTGGCATTTGCTCGTCTGGCGGTGCTGCTAAACTATCTGCCTAGAGATGTATGCTGAAAGTTATTTTGTCTGCATGAGGGACAGGAGTTCTGACGCATATCTTGAGATTTAAGAACTGGAGGTGCAAGCATCTCCACGAGACGTCGTATGGTAACAATCAGATTGCAGCCTGTATTTCCATGTGGATCTCCTTCAATATAGACGAGGACAATGCCGGTAATAATACATTGCTTCTACATAGTACTACAACTGCTGTTTGCTGTTAATATTGATGGTATTGGTGGCGACAACAGGCCAGTATTTGCGCACCCAGATATCCGAATATCCGAGTAATCATCCCACACTGTTCCCGTTTGTTCACTAACCTCTGGTGATTATGCCATGGTTTTCACCGTCGGGTTTGTCT